TAAATAAACAGCACTTTATGTAAATTATTTTATTATTTATATACAGAATATTTCAAAATGTTTATTGTTTTATAAGTTAAACATAGTTCTTGATTTTTTAATTTGCACTTTTATTGTTTACATTCTATGAATAATATTACTATCAATAATTTGATACCATTTGCAACTTATTCAAAATAATATAATGGGATAATCTCTCTAGTATTATGGGTTCAGGGAATATGAATATTTTATTAGGAAATAAGCTTCAACTGATACTACGGTATATTTATTGAACAAAACAATTATCATGATACTTTTGTAGAGATTTAGGGTATATGAAAGTTTTGACTGGATTAAAGATTACTACTGTATACCTAGATAGACGCAATATATTGTTACGATGACTGATTTATTACATAAAGAATATAATCAAAACTTTGTACACATTTTTACAATTCAAATTTTTGACAGAATTTTTTACTTAAAAATTAATTTATTAAAAATAAATACTATAATTGTATTATAATAATCAATTAATTATAAAATAATTATTGATAAAAGATTTATATAAAAACTTGAATATGTTAATTTTAAATTGTATTTGCTGAGCTTTAAAATCTAAATTTTCTAAATAATAAATTCTGAGTTATAGTTTCATGTTTTTCAAAGAATATTACACAAAATATACTTTGATTTAACAAAATATACTTCAAATTCTTTGGTGAAATATATGCAAAATATTGAAAGTTTATTTTAAAGAATGCAAACAACACGTTAGCACTACTGTTCATATAAAGGACAGGATCTCTTCAAAATCTAACACAAGAATTGAATTTTTTGTGTCTTTTAAGTGCTTTTAACGTACTTTTCAACTGAACTATTGATGAAATAAATAAGGTTTGGGCCAAAAATTACAAGTATAGCTCCAATTCTTATCACAAATAGCTCTCTCTCTCTCTCTCTCTCTCTCTCTCTCTCTCTTACCCACTCACTCACTCTTACATATATCATACACTCACTCATTAAATAATTAATTAACTAGATTTTATTCGAGATTCTTATGAAATCAAGGATAAAATATTCTTAAAGTTATATTTTTAGAAACCAAACGTTACATTTTGAGACCTTTTGATAACTTATTTTTATACATCACTTATGATACTTATCGTGAGATTTCAATATTATTGTTAAATAGCGTACTGAGGGTCTAATAGTTGTAGTAATGATACAAAATATTTATTAATATACTGTGTATAATAAAGTTTAAGCCATATATAGCCGATTCCTTACCACTTGTGTATAGAGAGCCACTCCATGTGATCAGCGGGGAGGCGATACTTATGCTCACTTATGCCCACCTGTCCCTATGTCCCTATATGCCAATGAATAAGGGATTGCTGTGCTATTATTACATTAATCTAGTGCTCCAATGGATGTATGGATACATTTTTATAGAGTCTCGCACTTCAAAAAAGTTTCATAAGAGTTCCCAAAAGAGAAGTGGAGATACAGTTGATATGGTCTCCGATATATAGTTATTGAATGGCTCTAAATGTGTAATAATAGTATCACAACATACTATTCACGGCTAGAGGACTGGCTTTTTATATTGAATTATCACTTGAACGGCTTCACCGGTAGTTATTTAGTGTCACAAATGTTTGATAACAATAGAGGATTAGCTCTCTTTACGACTTATTTACTCGTTTGCCATACAATCACTCGGTTTAGGCCTTAATGCCAATGAATTATTATGTTTTTTGTTTAAAAATAGATATTTTTTGATTTACTTTTAAAGATTTCGAATTAATTAGTCGAATAAATATTAGATATTTTGCAAAGTTTTATAAATATTTGAAGCAATCGATGCTTTAATTTTGTTTTATTTATATAAGTGTGCTTGTGTATTTGAGTGCACAAGTTTCCAAAATATGCTGTGAATGCCTTTGAGCTAAAGTGAAAGTTTAAACACAATGAGATTGTATGGCAAACGCGTATAATATAGGCGTTAATAAATGGCTTTCCACTACTTTTCCAGATTTAATTTTTTCGTTAACACACTGAAGGGATAAAAACAAATATTGATGAATACGAGAGCAAACATTTAAGCAAAAATTCATTGCTTAATACCAAATAGTTTCCAACAGTTTGATCACTACTGTATACACTTGTCATAGACTGCACTCTACTCTACTGTACACTCAATCTCTGTTATGAAACTAAACGTTTGTCTCTCAGTCTCTCATTGAGACAATATATACTTATCGCACATTTAATATATTGAAACTTTAACCTAAAACTAAATGCCTGACCTCAGGCTAACTTTCCTCTTTTCTCTCAGTCACTCGATTCCCATCCAAGTATTATTCATTAATAATTTCCTGTAAACAATATAAATGTTTTTATATTAATTCTTGCTTATAAAGAAACAATTTTATTTGTAGATTAAAAAGCATTTTACAAAATTTTATTATTTATTTATTAAAAATAGCGGAAAAGATTAGGATAAATATGTGATAACCAGGGATTTGAGTGAAAATGTTTTTCATATTATTGAACATTTGACGCAAATTTCTATTAGGTTTGATTGTAAGCCTAAGCCTATAGGGCTATTGACTTAAAACTGTGATTCTCACCGACTAAACGATACATTGCGTTAGGTTTGCAATAGTTACCCAAATCTCTCTCTCTCTCTCTCTCTCTCTCTCTCTCTAGATGTTGTGAGAGGCTATGAAAGAGCGCCACATAATGTTGTTCTCATGTCTCTCTCTCTCTCTCTCTCTCTCTCTCTCTCTTTCATCTTTGCAAGTATAGCCAATATGTGCTCGCACATACTGTATATCCCTCTATGGCGATGCCATCCATGCAAAGCAAAGCCGAGAAAAGAGGGCTCAAAGGAAATGCACACTTGTTTTGATGGCGAGTCAAAAGACATTAATTTTGCGATTCATTGATTGCATTCCAGCGGCAATGAAGATGAGGACTGACAACGAGTTGCTGTGGAAACCATTCATTGAGTTTGACAGCCATTCAAACAACACCTGCAATGCTATTCTTGTGTTGGATGTGTGGATGTGTTGGAACCGTTGCATGTTTTGCCAAATATCTGAATAAATGCTTGTAATCCATGCCATCCATACCTACATCACATTATGGGTCCACTAGTTTTCACACTATTCCCCACTTAATGCTACAAATATTTGCAACAATTATATAACCCTATCAAATGATTTACATAACAATTCACTGAACAACACATACTAAGTAATTGATTATATAATAATAATTTTTTTAATTTAATTTTTTGCAATTTTAGTTTATTTTCTTTTTTATTGTGACTTTATTTTTAGTTTTGTTCGCTTAATATAAGGTTTACTTTAATAAGTGTAAGAAAGCACAAATGTTGAGCAAAACCTTATAGTGACTTGTATTGAGTGGAAAATGCATTATTGGACGCGAGTTTGAGTGTAAGACCTAATGCTTTGATAGCTTGAAAGCACAGAACATTATTTACAGAATTATATCATCACTTATTGGGTGACATTCATCCAGAATTGGCACTCAAATGAAAAGCACAAAACGGTGAGTGAAAGTGTGAATGCAGTGAATCTGTAGAGTATATTAGCTTTTGAACAAATGCTACGATATATACAGCGATAGTGAGAGTGTGTGTGTGTGTGTGTGTGTGTGAGAGAGAGAGAGAGAGAGAGAGTGAGTGACAGACATGAGAACAACATTATGTGGCGCTCTTTCATAGCCTCTCACAACATCTCTGATTGCTTTTGCTTACAATCAAAAGTTTTATTTCCAAACGACTAATACTTTTTCATTCAAACTAAATAAGTACTCAACAATTCATAAAACATGTTCTTTATGTCACAAAATTCGCTAAAATAATTGTCTCCCAAAAAAGTTAGGCCTTTAATGTAAATCCATTACAAACTCGAATAGCTTTTATGATTATTGATTGAATGCTAACATCGAGTGAAATACAACTCTAATTGTTCTCATCAGTAGTTTTGCACACTTTATACACATATACAGGAAATGGCTTACGATTGGGGAATGAATTACTTATTTGACTATTTATTCATTGATTTAACAAAAGAAACAAAAGTTGATCGCAAAATGAGTTATTAAAATAGTGTAACCGAGTTGTGGAAAATGGGAGCAAATAATGAAAATATTTATGTCTTTCTATATAATAGTGATTAGAAAAGAGATTGTTTGCTTGGAATTTGTTTGTCATGTCTTTGGTGGTAAGAGTGCCGGTGTGGTCATTGATAGTGTTCATTGAGTCGATAACAATGGGGAGGTCTTAACAAATGCGAGCATTGGTAGTAATCCAGGCATTTAGGTATAACAGGCATAACGTATTTATTTGAATCATTTGAATACAAAGAGTTTTGGCGAACACTGGGATTGTCGAAGGGGTTCACCAATAGTACATCTAATGAGGTCTAGTAGTGGTCATTATTACACACCTAATGGCACACAAACTGTACATTTAATGTCTCACTCAAACTTATTGTAAGATAGGAATCGGTGTGCCTTTGAAATGCAGAATATCATTGAAAATAAGTATTGCTTTTCATTGAAAAAGTGCTAATAATTGCATAGAATTTGCTGTTTCTTATGATTGTAATAACTATTGCTTTATTTAAGCGTTTAATACGAGACAAAACTAATGATAATATATCTCAAGACGCGATGTGATGTTTGTGGTGTAGAGCCCACACAGCCATTGGTGGCCGTCACTGATGAGGAGGTGGTCTCCACTGGGAAGGGATGGGCTTCTGTCAGATGAGATTGTGGTGACGTTTGTTAGAGATGTAGCCGTATATACACACAGAATAAGTATATAGTGGTGTATATTCTGTTATATCCGACACACACTTCACTATAACTTCACTATAACTGAACTAATTGTTAGTTTTTTCTCTCTTATCGTCACATCTCGTACACTGAGTTCAGCACTAGACTCGGCGCTAAACAAATCATTTATGATTATCACTAAAATGGTTACATATCCCAGAGAGTCGCTTGAGATGTTCCGACACAACGGTCACAGACACATGCCTTTCATGGCTGATGAGGACAGCGATGTTTTTGTCGAGGAGTCCAATGAGGACGACGAGGGCCTCGATATTGACATCACCGATGAGTTTGAGGACAATGCGGACGATAAGTGCAACTCTCCGTCGGACACGAAAGACAAGTCCGAAACTAATGAATCGGATTGTGGATCGACTGGAAACAAGAAGAATCATGTGGTCAAACCGGCCTATTCTTACATCGCGCTCATAACGATGGCTATACTCCAGTCGCCCGACAAGAAGCTGACACTGAGTGGCATTTGTGACTTCATTAAGAATCGGTTCCCTTTCTATCGGGAGAAGTACCCGATGTGGCAGAACTCCATCCGTCATAACCTCTCACTCAACGACTGCTTCATCAAAATTCCTCGCGAGCCGGGAAACCCGGGGAAAGGCAACTACTGGACACTGGATCCGGCGTCCGAAGACATGTTCGACAACGGATCTTTCCTCAGGCGTCGTAAGCGCTATAAACGCCAGCAAACGGAGTACATCCGCGAGGGCTTCTGTTTGGCCGGACTCGACCCCTACGGCACCAACCGTTACATTAATCACCCGGCGCTCATGAATGGCTACCCATTCCTACCGCCGCTTCCGCCGCCGATTCCACTCATGACTCCGCACGAGATGGCTCTCCGACCGCCCATCCAACCCATAAACCTGTCGGTCGGCCCCACAAGCGGTCAAATGAGTCACTCGCACGACATGTCCAACCAATTGATGGCATCGATGGCCGACTCGCCAAACATGACACCATCGCCGCCGACATCGCAATCAGTTATAATGCATTCTTCGCCGATCTCTTCGCTGACGTCCACCGCGACTACGAAATCAAAATCAAACTTTTCAATCGATAGCCTCATCGGTGTCAGCAAATTGTCATCAAATGATATGAAACAGAAGTCAATGACCAACACATCGACACACTTTTCGCACAGTTCTCCTCACATGACATCCCGTAGTAATCAGTGCTCAGAGACAATGATTCGGCCGCCGGTGCTCTCCATTCCCAACAACCTATTGACTCAATTCGCAAGAATTCCAATCACTTCCTCGCCATTCATTGGGCCCAACGGTAACGACATCTCCTTAATGTTAGGCCGCAATGACATCAACCTATTGCCACCAAATGGCACCTACACTGACATGACATCATCGCTGGATATGGAGAAGTATAGACTACTGCTGTTTCAGGCGTCGGTCAACAATCAGATGAGTGCCGCGAATCACATGAACTTTGAACACAAGTCTATTCCTTCAGCAAATTGGCGATGATTTGCAGCAAACGCTTCGCACAATCACTCATTTGGTCAATCATTTAGGAGATTATGTTTATAACAGATGTGAATAATTTGCAAAAATGAAAGTAAATATTGTAATTAATTTTTCTATTATCTATTACTGATATATTTAAGAATAACCTATAGTTGATTGCTACAGTATCGCACAAATCATAATAATGTAATAATTTGCTTTACGACATAGTTATGTGTAAAAAGAAATCAGTTAATGAGTTAACATTTATTTGATTCATTTAACGCATTTCTCAAATCAATGAATTGAGACTTTAGTGTAATTTTATCACAATTAGTACTAATTCTCTGAATTAGTTCTCGTATTAAATGTCTAAAACCTTTGCTTTCAATAACACAAACAGATTACCAGTTATAACGAGACTATAATATAGTGTCTAATTGTAAGTTAGTTCACACATGCCATTCTGTGTATCTAAATATTGTAATTATAAGAGCTTTTCATTGCATAATATAAATAATAATTTTCATTATAAAATAACATTGAGTAAATATATTTTTCATTCTTTTCATTAATTATTGCAATCATTTGAAATCTTAGCAATCATTTTGTAAAATGGGATTCAATGATAATAAAATGTATAATTTTTAAATATAATTAAATAAGTTTTTTGAATAAAAATCAAACAAATTGATATTATTAAATAATTAATAATATAGATAATTGAAATTGAAAGCTAAAATAACAAATTAACATTAAAAGTGAAAAGTATTTATTAATACAATGTAATATAATTAACCTTAAAATGTAATTCTATATATTAATAATAATAAAATGTAAACTTTCTTTTGTTTAAAAGGTATCATTTGATTGAATATAAATATTAAATATAATCCTATAGTAAATATTATACTTTAGATCAATTGAATTGACATTTTATTGATATAATATTACAATACAATCATATCTTTAAGTGAAAATACTTTAAGTAAAGAATACTTTTCATTATATTGTGAACAAAGTTTCACATAAAAACAAACACTATTTTATTATTAAGACATGTATTAATATGAGAGATATGTGATAATAGTTTGCAGATTAAATACATTTCTTGTTATTTAACTAATTTTGTGAGCCATATTACATTAATAGAAAACTTACTAGACATTATTTGCATAATAGCGTAAAAACATAATTAAATAACAGATCTGTTAATTAACGCAGAAATTTATTGTGGAATTTGAAACAAAGTGAATAATATTAATCAGATTTGAGAGAAAAGTTGTCGACACATCTCATAATGACTCCCAAATGTACAGTCAATTGAAGCCTTAATTATCTGATAAAAGTATACTCGAAAATATATGCAAACACTCCGGTAATTCAATAATACATTGAAGTGTAATATGAATTGAATGGAAACGAATGGCACGATATTCTGTCATTAGCTGTGAGGCTATTGGAGTAGTTTAGTGTATAAATTGTATACTTTTATACAGCGTATAGTGTTTTTAATCCAATGTATTCTGGCTTATGTTGAGTCAAATAAAACAATGTTTATGATTGAAATACGAGAATATTCTCGTTTGCATGAATCAGTTCCTCATAAATATTTGTTTCTATCAATTGGTTAACCTTTACTTTTGTTTGAAACTATTGTTATACAAATCTGTCGGTTGTTTCGATTTCACATTAATATAAATATAATAAAAGTGTCAATTTTCTAAATAATGCCATAATAACATATCCACTTCTGATGGCTATTGATCTCTTAATAAATAAATAATTATTTACATTTAAATTAATGAATGTTCGCATAATGTTTAGTCTAAAGATTACAATTTTTTAGCCAGTCTTCCCGTTTATGTTATTTTGCACCAAATAATTAATAGCGATTATAAGCCAAATATTTTTCATTCATTAATCAATTTCTTTTACGCTTTAAACACTTTAGTCTAAATAATTTGTTTTTGTTCGTCAAATGTTTATTTTTATAGGATTTTAATTATAAAACATTGTTTTGCAAACAAGTTTTGTATTTTTTCGTTTAAAAACATCACTGCAAAAATACTCGTAAAAAATTCCCTTAAAAAGTAACACCATAAATATGCATGTTTAATTGAATTAAATTTAAGAATCAAGTCTATAGGAAATCATTAAAAGTATTGATATTATTTCTACAGTATATGATATACTGTATATCACAGGATGACTTAGAAAAAATCAAATAAAAAATTATTTTGAATTATGTTTCCCTGTAACAATAGTGTCGGTTACAATACAAAAACCTCTTTGAATTTATTGATACTTTTATGAGAACTATTTATTCTCATATGAATTGTAAAGAACATATTCTTTAAAAGTTTGCATTTCATTTTTTTCAAAAAACTAAATATTTTATTAAACATTTAAACACTTAAGAGATGAAAGGATGAGACGGAAAGGGAGAGAGAGAGAGAGAGAGAAAAAGAGGCAAATATTTGGCTCCGAGGATGAGATGAAAGTTATTAATACTTCAACAGATGTTATTTATATGATTAGCTTTTGCCATTCGTTTCCATTCAATTCATATTACACTTCAATGTATTATTGAATTACCGGAGTGTTTGCATATATTTTCGAGTATACTTTTATCAGATAATTAAGGCTTCAATTGACTGTACATTTGGGAGTGAGAGAGAGAGAGAGAGAGAGAGAGAGAGGACAAATTATGAATTGCTTACTCAATGAATGAAAAACTTAAATATTTAAGATTAGAGTTAACACAAAAATTATAGTTTATTTGTATAAGTGTTTAATAATAATAGTGAATAAAAGACAGGGCTGTGAATGAGTCGTTTGGATTAAGTGTTGGCAAAACCCCACTTGGCATACATAGCATACATCAGTATTTGGCACAATTTTTTAGCCTAACTTCTCATACATAATACAAGGGCTGAGCGAAACACACACGAGTCTACCCGCGCTGTAAAGCTAATCATATAAATAACATCTGTTGAAGTATTAATAACTTTCATCTCATCCTCGGAGCCAAATATTTGCCTCTTTTTCACTCGTAATTTAAATTGATTTTGCAAACACTGAAATTAAAAATTATGAAAAACTAACTTATTTTTTCGATACTCTCTATATGTGTGTGTCTGTCAATGCATTAAAAATATTGTTTGTTTAGTAAATGTTAAACAGCTTTTTGTTTTCTTTCCAAATATTATGTGTTGAGCCAAAAAAGAGTCGACGAATTAATGTGACATAAAATAATAGTTTTCATTAATCACAGCAGCATTTCATCCAATCGATTGTCAAAATCTTATGTTTTTCGTGAATTACATAACAGAAAAATGTTTCACTCGATTGTATAGATATAAAAGTGGTGGGAAAACATCGAGAAACACTGAAAACATGTCACTTTTGAATACACTTTCAATACTTAAAGAGATTAATATGAGTTAAAATATTTGCCGCTGTGCTCAGAGTAATCAAACACAGGATTTATATGTTATCACAAAGTTTTATATACTTTGCCGCATATGTGATAAGAGTTACATAAAATATAAGTTAAAGCATTCTTTGTTTCACATGAATACCACTTTTCAGACATATATATAACAAAACACATCAATTCCTATAAATAAGACATCAATTGATTACATGTAATCTCGGGCCATATATTAGCAAATGTAAGTTTTTTTTCAAACGGAAACTAAATAAAAAATTACATTACGAAATCAAATAAGTAGTATTTTAGTTATTCTGTAAAAGTGGTATATTTGAAGTGTTATATAGAGTTAAAATAGTAATACATGAGATGTTAGAATATGTGACAAAATATAATTAATATATCATACATGGACTAGAAATTGATTTCTTATTCACCACAAACTGCTTGTAAAAAACACGTGCAGTACATAAGCAGATGGCGAATACTGGGAATAGACTATTGACAAACACAGGCCAACCAGTAGTCCAGTATTTATTCAACTAATATTCACTTTACATGACTTTTATGAGTTAATAAGTATTGCTTCAGCGGTTATGAATTGAAGCGATTATAAGTTATATTCAAACACAATTTATTTGATATTAGAGTATCATATTCTCCAAACAAATTCATTATAATTTAAGGAATTCCCAGAATTATAGACTAGTTTTTTGTTTAGTTATTCAAAATATGAATTTTAATATAAATATTGTCTTAGAATACACACATATTTTTCTAAATATATGATTTATCCAATTTGTTGACAAACTTAACTACTAATTTTGTTTTGTCTATAATAATGAAACAGTCTATGAAAATGGAGATCTTTGACATCAAATATTATTATTAATTATTTGTCTCTTAAATGTGTTTTTAAAAGATCAGAATCTATTGGCAAAACATAGTTAGCATTCAATAGCATTGACAAGTCATACACTTTCCAAACCATACAATATATGTATTTATGGTTTCGGCTCATTTAGTCCACTAAATTGGATCCTTTATCTGTGATCCGTTACACCACCACCAGTTCCCCTCCCCCAACAGCCCCCACATAGGGCTCATGGAGCTATAAGTTTTGACTATACATTGAGAACTAATATTAATCTGATATTTTTGATAATTCCTAATCTAATAGTTTATAAATATTTTAATAATTATACAAGAAAAATTATGTTTGTAATAAAAATGTAAAGTAACTATTTGTGACACAAATGATTAAGTAAACGATTTGTTTATTTAAAATAATGGGAAAATATATCACAAGAGATTGTACGATAAACTTGACACTTTTACAAAGTGCGGGCGCAAGGCGTTAGACATGCAGTTTGAGGGCCGGCTTCTTAACTAAAAGAGATGGACAGTGAAGAGGGAGAGAGAGAGAGAGAGAGTGAGTGAGTGAGTGAGTGAGTGAGAGTTAGTTCTAAAGCTTAATAATAAAAATAAATATTGAATACAAATTCGCCCCAAACTTCCAAACAATTTAGAGAGAGAGAGAGAGAGAGAGAGTTAAAGCGCTGTTCGTTTATCGTTTACAAGTATAGCAATGGATGCGAAGAAAGACTAGTCGTTGTCGAAGTTGTCGAGCAATGATGTGCACCACTGAATGCCTCCACTCTTGCGCTCCACTACCGGAAGCTTTCTTTTAAAGATATGTTTTGTTGAGACATTAGTTGTGAGCAGACTTTCTTATTTAGATCCCGCGTATAAAAACTAAGACTAAGGAAATTGAAGCCTTGTATAGGTTTATAAGAATAAAAGACAAACTAAATGTTTGTCAAAAATATTTATTTTCTATTCTTAAAAAACAATAATAAAACATTAGACTTAATAAAACAATAGTATTAAGTAGGTTATATGGATTGCATTAAATTCATATCTAATTAGGTGTTGTTTTGGAATTTTTAAAAGTTATTTCTAAATACATAGATAACTTTGAATACTGAAGTACAGGAAATCACTTTATAATAGGGATTAACTAAGTCTTACGTGCTATCAAGTAATTTCAACTTTTTATGAAAGGCTTAATCTTAGAAAGTTAGTCAGAAATGAGTTTATGATTGCATTGATTTATACGCTAATTACTGATAATTTTGGGTATTATTGTTTTAACATTGGTAACACTTGTAGACTAAGTTATGCGAAAAATAACAGAAAATTGCAGTTCATTTCAGGCAATCCTAACGATTCGTACTGTACTATACAGTGAATAGTGTACAGCTATACTGTACAGTGAATAGCGATACTTTGCGATATGAATGTTTTGGTGCAGAGAAATGACACCAAACAGAGAACAGATAATGAATGTATTGGTTGAGCGGACACCTGGTTCTGGCTATTTGTTTGACCGAAGCCGACACTCGGGCTTAGGAGTGATATCCAGTTTAAAGACAGTTAACGCTTCCACAAGACGGCACAGACATCTCGTCACTCACCCCTACCAATGCACTCGTATTTCTCCAATTACCACAAGCGGTGATTCTCAGACACCATAGACTGCATGGCTGCAGTCGAAGGACATCCACAGCCATACCATACATCACTACTGCTGTATGCAGTCTTCAAGTCTACCATTTCTAGTCTTACTTTTAAAGTCAAAATCATTTATAGCAATACAGCACCAGATGTTTACAAAAGGAATTCTTGTTTCAAAAATAGGATATGTTTTCTGGAATTTTATGAATTACTTATAAAAAATACTGAAAACTAACTTTTCTCACAAAATACTCTATGTGTGTGTGTGTGAGAGAGAGAGAGAGAGAGAGAGAGAGAGAGAGCTGGTAGGAATGAATGCTAAAATGAGTCATTCTACAATCAATAGCACAGTAGATATGAAAAAATATATTAATTCAAACATCTATTTTTTTAAATGTACCAGTTTGTCTATATTTTACAATTCTCATAACAAAGTCAATATTTTTACTAATGAAAAGGTTAAATGAAATGAAGTTTATTTATAGTATAAATTTTATACAGTACATAATAGGTAACAAATTAATCAAAAATTGTGAGACAAAATGAAATAATAAATAAAATAAACAATAGTGATGCACGCACACTGTAAGAATTATAATTAGGTTAAAATCATTTAAAATTTAAGATCAAAGCAAGTAAAATGAACTCAAATATGTTGCCAACCATTACAAGAGTAAAGGACGCGAAAGCTGTGGAGACAATAGATTTTATACCGAGTGATGGGGTGCCGAGGACTGTGCGCCTGGATGTGGCAAAGTTGTCGATCACAGTGAAAGATCTGATTGAAAGCACGGGCGACTTCTCAAAACCGGTGCCTTTGGTTCAGGTGTCCGGCAAAATAATGGACAAAATCATCGAATATCTCAATCATCATATCGACGATCCCATCGATGAGATGGATTCGGACGACGAGGACGCCAATGATCTCAAGAGGAGTGATCTCATCAACGAATGGGACAAGACTTTCATGAAAGGTATGGATCGCGAGACACTGTTTGATCTGCTTTTGGCCGCAAACTATCTCGACATCAAAGCCCTGTTAGATCTCGGCTGCAAAACAGCTGCCAATCAAATCAAAGGCAAAACTCCCGAAGAGGTGCAACAGTTGTGGGGAATTGAATGCGATTTGACTGATGAGGAGATCCATGAGCTTAAGAAAGAGAATGCTTGGGCTGAAGACAATTGAGATTATTTTGTGTAAATCAATAAAAGCGCAAAATTAATATTTTTTATTTTATTTTGCTGTATATATTTATGCAAAAATGTGGTAAAGCATGAAAAGTGTATCGAATGTAGAATAGAGATAACAAAACATAAATTGTTTTTATTATTGGATTTGATTACACAAACAGCTCTAAGAGTCACTAAAAATGCTAATTCAGGGCTGACTTATAGTGACTTACATTAAATAAAAGTTATAACATTTTCCAAAATTTGTTTTTCGATAAATATTTGCACAAACAGTTGAATCTCAATATATGTCTATTGAATGCTTGAGATTCTGCTGTTAGTACAGAGGTATCCAGAATTTGTCCAAACATTGTCGTAATTGTTTCAAACTATTCATAAGATTGGTATTTATAGATAAGCTATTGTATTTTTTAACAGACAAATAGGGTTACCAATTTAACCAATTTAACAGGGTACTGTACTGAGCTTTCTCAACATACTTTGCATTGATTGTCGAGCTGGTGGTGCAATTGGTGGGCACCTCTGGTTGTGGTGGAAATTCTGGGAGTGAATGAGAAGCGGTGCTCAAGAAGTAGAGCTTAAGTTATTATTGCTTTTGCATTACAACTGTAATAATAATATAGCAATAAAAATAGAGTCAATAAATGCCGTAATAAGTTATAGTCAATACAATGATGTTGTAATATGAACAGCTAATATTCGCAGCTAATATTAAAGTTGCATAAAATTTATGGCACGAAAAACAGTGGTTTTATTCGCCGCTATAATAACTTATCAAATGCTTGTTTGTTAAGAGAGAAGAAATGTTTCTGAGCTCTGAATACCCTGTTATCATATGAATGGGAAGATAGGAATAAACATCTATTAAATCCATAAATCCCTGTCGAGTTTAGTCCAATAAAAACAGTCAACATAACAACAGATTCATATTCTTTACGATAAACATTTTAACGTGAATTTAGTTAAAGTATTTGTAATCTAAAGGTTGTGTCAAACGTATTGCCGATGCGCTGTAACGCTAACTGTAAGCGACCTATTGTTTGCGTCATTTGTTACTTTGTCTTAAACAAACAAATGTGTGTAAAATAAATGATAAAATATTGTTCAAAGCGTTTATGGATCTTAAGATTACCTTTCCCAAACATTACTCACATAATTATTGGCCGATAATAAAAATCAAGTTTTTGCCACTTATTTGCCACTCCATCGCTAAAACTCCAAACACAACCACTGGAGTGTAGATAACAATAGTCTTATTATTCACTTTCCTGTTGTCTTATCATTGCTTATAATTGTATTCAATGACAAGAAATCACTTAATATTTATAATGCTATATATAATATATATTTTATTGGCTATAATTCTGTTAAATAAATAGCAATTCTTTATAGAATTGTAAAAATATTAAACTTTAATTGACTCATAAACTTAACAAAACATTTATACATAATAAGCAATATTTAGTTCACATTTTATAACACCAATATTACACAAATTAATAAATAAAACTTACTTGAATTTGATTGTTTATAAGTTATATTTTTATTGATTTTAAAGTCACTCTTAACATTAATAATCTTATTTCCTATTTTATCAAAATTCTTGAATTTAAGAGAAAATTTAAACATTTAAATATTATTCTTTCACTAAAATGCAAAGTCTTAAAGCGAACCTATACTATTACATTGTATGGTAAGGTATTAAACGGTGACGTTTAGTTAACAAAATTAAAAAGTATATTTATTTAAATCCGAAATCAATTCATTGAAATAAAAACCTTTATTTTGTGGATTATAATAATATCGGATATACAATGCCATGACAAGAGTAAAAACGATATTAGTGTTTGGGCTCACCTGTCAGGGCTCGCAGTATATGATACCTAAAATAAAGTTGAACTATAAAGTGATGGCAAATCTAAATAATATTGTTGTCGACGATCTTCGCATGAATATAAACTTTTTTGTTGTACTCTATATTCAATGGTTAACACAATGAATAGGCGAACGCTCGCCAAAAAAGGATCCCTTACATATCATAATATGGAATTACCTCTCTCATTCTCTCTCACTCTCTCTCTCCCTCTCTCTCTCTCTCTCTCTCTCCAAATTGTTTGGAAGTTTGGGGCGAATTTGTATTCAATATTTATTTTTATTATTAAGCTTTAGAACTACTAACTATACATTTATACATCAAAACATGTATATAAACGCAAACTACTGTATAATCACACAAAACAGTCTGAACTCGGTTTTGTAGTCAATCTTATTCTTAACTACAATTTATTCACTATTGAAATAGTTTTGCATTGAATAGCCAAACAATTATTGCAATTATGGTTATGATCCCTATCCAGTCGTCAGTAAACTATTGTCATAAGAATTGTTGAAATGATTCCTATGAACACATTATTTGTATAATACCTTTGGGTCTCGATTTAATACAGAATTTAAATTTAATAACAGTATAAATATAATATTTGATTAAACAAATATTTTGCGTCAAAAGTGATGGGAAATAGTGAGTAGACTGTAGTTGATAGTACTGTAGTGTATTATAAACTATTATTATAATAAAATCTGTGTCCACAAGCGACTGAATGTTATTGTGATCGGCATTCATAGCATTGATGCAGCATTGATAGAGTGGTGTATTGGTAGTGAACGGTTGGTTCAGTTTGTATCGCATGCATAGCCTAAGCGCCCATTCGGTTGAAAATATTCAACACTTTAAATCTGAACTCCGGGGTAACACTGAGGCACAGGAATATTCGTAGTGAATAGTAAACGCCTAATAAATGGTGGACCAAATCATTTAAACTATACATCAATACAATCAATAGTTAAAGACCTAAAGACCTCACAACTGCTACTGTGAGCGGCTTTGCTTTTATGTATAATATAGTGGTCCCAATGAATGCAATGGGAAATTTGGTCCGAAAAAGACAGGCAATACCCTCAACGATAGAGCAGTTCATAATGTGAAGGGACTCGGAGGCCGCTAACATAATATCATTGTTCAGTATTTATTGTATTCCAGAGGCTTTCTATAAACTTATTAAGAGAGTCTCAAATGGGAGCGGTGTGTATGTCCAGTGCTTAAGACATCACTAATAGAGCTCATAATAGAGTTGACAAATTTGGTACACATTTCTAGAGACTGTTCCACTCATTTGACATATTTTACGACAACTGATGGCATACTTATTCAAACTTAATGTGAACCGCAAAATCTACACAATTATTGTCGTAAGTATACAACAAATTGCGGATAAACTTAAGCCTAACAGTAAAGTCTATCACTTCACTCATATTCTGTGCTATACTGTACGACACACTGTGTGTAACTTAAAGTGAACGTGAATTCATGAAAATTATGAATAATTCTAATGTTATGACAATTTCATGACTGAATAATGTGTTGGAAATGTGAGACGAAACTAATATAAAAACTCATGAATTATGAAAATTGAAAACTTAATTGAGTGATAGATTGATATTTGTTTGATTATAAAATAAAGAGTAATAAAAATAATAAAAATATTTTCTAATGATGTGAGGAATGTTTAGAAAACGGCTTTTATTAGAGTTTAGACAACAGGCGAACGCCTACCACTGCGAAACTGAGAGGAATTTTTCAATAACGCTCTCTTCAATTGAAGGGGAATTGGAGGCAATAGAGGGCTAATAAAACGATCGGAATTTCATCAACAGATCATTCGTTGATTTTGGAGAGAGTGCTCAAGAATAGGAGTTTTGAAAACAATATTTTCGCAGCAAATGCTTCAAAGTATTTCAAGACAAACGACACCATTAATGGACGTTTATATGACAAATATATCGTACATTTCGGGCGCTTTTCTAAGCAATGCCTCAACTTTTTTATGAAAAGAGAGCCAAAAATACCAAATAATGAAATCCCAGAACTGAAAGCCAAACAGAAAAATATTTTTATTGGCTGTGATGTTGATCTTATGGAAAATGCTTTTTTGCCCATCACTTCGGGGACTAGTATTTGACTATTGGCTGGTAATGGGGTAGTGTTGGGTAGTGTTGTTTGTCTATCGCCAGAGACTTTATTAAACGGTGTTATTAATACTCAAACCGTTAGATATGCGAACACTTCATGAATATAAACACTAAAACAGTGAATGAATTGCCGTTTCATAACTCGATGGCTAAAGAATGCGACGATTGTTATGAAATATAATCAAACATTTATAGTAAATATTACATACCATTTATTGTCTTATTACACACAACACTATATTGTACCATATATTATAAGATAATATATTATATTCTTTATTCTGTTTAAATACATACATATAATAAATAAATAATTATAAATATGAAATTCTCTGAAATTCTAATATAAATTACTTGAGATATTTGTGATAAAACAAAAATAAACTTGAGATAAAGAAATTATATAATAAGTTATTAAAAAATTAAAAATTGTCTTTATTAAAATAACTGTAAATAATTACTGTATATGAGTTGTTGCAAAACTTTTACACAACATATCATAAAAGATACTGTAATACTGTACAGTAACTGTATGCTTACTATGCCCGTTGGATTCTTTATGATATGCCGTATATTCTTATAGGGATATTACTATCTATGTAAAATATTGTCACTTGTTCTTTTATCATTGTAGTATAACAATTGTAAATTAAATAGATTGTTTCATATGAATAAATAGAATGAATGCTTTGAGACAATTAGACTCCTTGGTGACTTATGATCCATATTATTTATTGAAAAACAATATTTATTCAAAATACAGTATTGCAGTATTATTTTTGGATAATATGTCCACAATATTATTGACTACTTTAAAATTTTTATATTAAATAAATTTGTCCTCATTTATAAGTTTCTATTTGTTTTAATTTTGTAATACTGTATTATATGTTAACTTTGAATAACCATTACAGTACTAACGGGTAAGAATGATTTCAGAATTCATAAGTTTATAAATGTGCCTGG